AGTCACAAGAGGTCTCCGGCGATACTCGCTCTCGCAGAGATCTCTTGGGACATGCTGCACAGTGCGAGGTATGTCTTCCTTACCGCGCTCCTGAGTATCGACAGAATGGCTGCCCGAACTCAGAGCGAAATAGGACAGTACATGCGAAATTGCAAAGAGATGCTGGCCAAAAAGGGGTATTCCACTCCGAACTCCATCTCTGACATCCAGGAGAAGGTGAAGAGAGATGAGCTTCTGACGGATGTGTTCCTGCACGTAGGTTGTGACCTCCCAGAAATCATTCAGTATGAACTGATTGCTTACCACCTTGACTTCTTGAAAGACAGGGTGTTCGATTACATGAGGCATGATCTGATGCGGGGTAGCGCCGTAGATACTCCACCTGCTTAGCTCTCGAGACCTCCTTGGAGATGTGCGCAGGGGAGACAAAGAGACGGGTTATACCCCTCTCTTTAAAGGATGCTGGCCCCACCGGCGCAGGGGAGATGCTGGTTAGGCCCCTAATATAAAAAACCCAAACACATTTGTGTGAGTCATCCATGCACCGCCCTCGTGGTAGCGCTGTAGATACTCCGCTTAGCTCTCGCGGCTGATCCGATACGGCATAGTAATGAGGTGGCACCCAATCCCGCCTCACTGTAGCGATAGCAAAATGGCTCATGTGTTCTGTGACGTACAGATGTTGAGAGGCCAAAGTGGTGAACTCCTCATTAAAGAGTTCAGCCGATGCAATGTTGACTGGGATGTGAGTCATACGGCGTTCTTCAAACCGCCCTATGATGAGACATTACTCCCAGAGAAGTATCGGCGCCACAACCACTACGTCACAAAACACGTGCACGGTCTGAAGTGGAACATGGGCCTCATCCCCTATGAGTTCTGTGAGGACCAGATCCACGAGATGGTCAATAGCTTTGAGGTCGTCTATGTTAAAGGCGATGAGAAAAAAAAGATGCTGCAAAAAATGCTGCGCGAAAAAGTTGTCATCGACATTGAGACACTAGGGTGCCCCAAGCTCAGCAGGCTGCCCAAAATGTTTGTGCCCTTCCATTGTCAGGAGCACAGTGTCTTCCCAACCCACTCTTGCGCATGTCTCAACGCACGGCGCATAGGAATGTGGTACACGTTCACCATGGCTTAAAAAAGAAAAAAGAAAAAAATACAAAAAAAGTTTTTGTTCAGCTGCGTATAAAAGCGCGCACCTCTGATCTTTGATTCATTGGTCACCATGTCGCTCAAAGGTGAACACCACTTAGCCCTCCAGGCGCAGTGCCGTGTCGTGCCACTAAGAAAAAAGAAAGTGGACAC